GCGCGGCCACCCCGGGACGAGGGAGGAATCTGGTCCCCAGCGCAGCTGCGCTCCGGCGCTGGGCGGTTGTTTTTTAGCGGAGGGGAAAGGGCAGCTAGTCCCGCAGGTGCTGGGCACGGGGAGCAAGAGGAGCGCGTACTTCTAACCGTGTCTTGCAGGAGCTGCTGCTTTCGCAGCCTGTGATTTCAGAGCTTGCCTTGTGCCCGATTTCCAGCGCCACCATGGAACGAGCAGTTGCGTCCAGCACTCGGATTTCCAAACTTCTAGCAGGAGCCGGTGATCCTGGGAGATGCAGCCTAGTCCCCAAACGTGCCCCTCTGAAACAGAACGAGTCAGTAATTCTTATTTATGACTTCACCGCAGTTTCGGGGTAGAAGAGAAGAAAGATTTGCATGAAGTGTAGGACCGTCATCAGACGCTTCTGTGCGGGAAGAGCAGCAGACGTAAGCAGGGTGTCTGATGGGGCTGGCCTAGCGGGTGATTTCTGTGCTGTAACCCGGCCTTTGCTCCGCAGCTGGGGTGCTCGACAGTCCGAGCGATCCTTGCTTGGGGCAGCGAGCGCCCCGCGGCACCTCCTGCTCGCTGCGCTCTGGCCAGGTCGTTAATTTTGGATTGGGTTCCTGGGGCAAGGAGGCCTAAGCTGCTGCATTTGCTGGGTGCAGAGGGCTGTCCTGCTGAGGGCAGTCAGGCTGACCCTCGGTCTCCTTTTTGCTTTGGTGAATTTATTACACTGGCAAACCCTCTCTCATCCCACCCCGCCAGCAGCAAGACCTGGCAGGGTTCAGTCAGGGCCATACGAGCTTTCATAACAGGAAATTCGGGATGATAACTTTGCTGCTAACTTGACAGATGCCTCGCTTTTTAATCTGAATATTTCAGCATTAGTTGGAAGGGATTTCTTTTTTGTTTTTTAGTTTGAGCATTCAGTCCAAAATTGGCTGTTGTGAAAAGAAGGGCCAGTGAACAAAATCCCTGAGCGCTTTCCTGCAATTGCGGTTCTGCTTCCGCTTTCGTGTGCAGCCGAGGCCCTGCGTGGTCTCGACGTGCTCTTCCCTGGTGCCGCCTTTGGGAGATCCCCGGCGCCGAGCTGTGGGACGGGGAGAGGGTTCCCAGTTACCAGCTGTGCGCTGCTGTCGAAATCCTTTTCCTAAGTAGGGCATAAATGTTAAGGCCTGACCATTGCTGAGTGCTCCTCAGACAGGACTTCTTGTCCCCAGCACTTGAGTGCCGTTGTCTGTGCCCTGGGCCACTGCAGATGGTAGAATGAGGATTACTTAATTACCTCTAAGGCTCTAGTTTAATGCTAATCTTTAGAAGGCACTTGGACTTGAAACCAAAGGTTTCAAAGAAACATTTCTTACAGCTTCTCTCATACCCGCCATGCTGGAGCTCTCATAAGCTCTTTCCGGAGCTGACCACAGTGGAAACTGGAGTGAGCTGTTGTCTTTTTTAGCAGCGATTTGATTTTTTGGGGTGCTTCTTGGACGGAGTGAGTAGACTGTGTGACTACCAGAGATGAAGTGGTGGCACTGGTTCCTTCCCAGCCGCGCTCCTTTGGGAGATATGGGGTCGTTGTCTCCATGCGTAGCCTGCGTGAGACTCGTGTGAGCTGCCCAGCTGCGGTCTCGTTATGACACTAATTAGAGAAGTCCTCGCGCTGGAGCAGGTTGTAATGCTGCTGTTGATTGTCTCCCTGGCGGATTAAAGGCAAACCGTCCTTAACAAGTGTCTTGAGTAGCTTGAGCTGCTGAACTCCCCTGGACCAGTAATTAATCCATCTGGTAGCAAGGAGCATGGCTTGCAGGTAGCAATTCTGGGAAGGTGCTTTTAACTGTTTTTGCACCGGGCAACTCAATACCGTTAGCAGGTTTATTTGACTGGTTAAATGGGCCCCTGACCTGGGATCCCAGGGCACATCAGAGTGACTGCTGGCCCTCCGGTATGGATACAGAAGCCGTATCATAGACGCCTGGGCTGGAAAAAAAAAAAAGACACCGACGTGGTTGCTGTTGCCTGTGTGTGAGCATGGGCAAGCCGGTGGATTTTCTGTGCCTTGGTTTCTGGTCGGGAACTTTCCCCTTCTAGTCCTCTGATGAAAGGCGCAGTAGAAGTGCAGGTGAGATTGCTTATTGCCCTGAATTATAATTTGGGACATTGGTGTGCCTTCTCTGAGATGGCTCAGTATACACATAGAGAAGTGGGGGTCACACTGGAGGGGCTGCTCCTTCTCCAGTCGACTTTGGCCTCTTCCTGGCCTTGCTGTAGTTCAGCGACGCTGGAGAAACTGAAATTCAGCTGAAGCAGGGGTGTTTCTTCCAGGACGTACAGCAGACACACTGTGTATGGACCCACAAGTACATTAGATTTCGGTTGCCTTCAAAGGCCCTAGCTACTGCTGCAACCTATGCAGTGAAGTAAATCATGTGTTCAAAGAAAGCTGTTTTCTGTATTAAAACGCCTTCAAATGCCCAGTTATGGCAGAGGATCAGGAAGGTACGAGAAGTCCCCCCTGAGCTGCCAGGGTCTCCGCTAGCTGGGACTGCCGTTGTGGCGGTGGCCTCATCCGTGCTAGTCCACGGATCTGCTCTCCAGCACTGGACAAGCAGGCGGCACCAGGCTGTCGGTGGCCCAAGAGCTCCTCGTGGCACTGACACGCTGGGAGAGCAGATCTGGAATAACTCGCCATCAAAGCTAGGACGTACCGCTCTTTGACATACCCGGCCACGAGCGCTGCTTCTCTGTTCCTGCAGAGCCTGCTTAAGCTCAGGCAGCCCTTTCTTGAGCCTCCAAGCAGTGCTCAGTACAAATAACAAGAGCATTGTAAAACCTTGTGTGAGTTTTGTATTCCCTGCGTTAATGCTCAGGGTATTGCTTGCCCTTGGTGACGTGGCTGCTTCGTTTGCGTGGCCAGTCTCTGCTTTTAAGGCATTGTCTCCGGATGGTAAAAACAGTCACTCGTTGGCCCGTTTCTGAGGGTGCTAAGCAGCAGCATAATCAGGTTGAAAGCTGTTCCCGCTCTGGCAAAAGAAAACAAAGTTTCAGAAAATTAGTCCAGTGTGCGTTACTTTTTGTAGTGCAAGGATGGGAAGGTGTAGGGGTGTATATGTTTTTGAGTTAGAGTGGCTCACTGTCCTCTTTGCAACATCTCTGTAAAATGTCCATTAGTTCATGTCTGAGTTCCTGTGACTGTGCAGACTTTGCGAGTGAATTTTTTCTGATGTTTTTCTGATTTTTTTTTTTTTGTCTCCCCTTTTATGAATTTTTTTTCCCCTTCAGGTTGGTTAGCTCTCTTCATGGTAGTGTTTGAACCATAAAGTATATTAATATAGTGTGTGTTCGTGCCTTGTTGTTGTAAGTTCTTGACTTAATTTTGTTTCTGCTCTTCCACATGCTCCTAAGCTTTTCTCAGCTGAGTGTTGGGAGGTGAAGGTAAAGTATTTGTTTGTTTTTCTCAGATGCTCAGGCCTTTTCCAGTTGATGGTTCCAACAGGATGGAAACGAAATGTAATAACTGTGTAATATGGATCTCAAAAGCACCAGAGATGTGGGTTCCTAAATCCCTCAACCGTCTAATGCTGTTTGTTCCAGGCACAGCTGCGAGCGTTCATCCCGGAGATGCTGAAGTACTCCACGGGTCGCGGGAAACCAGGCTGGGGCAAGGAGAGCTGCAAGCCCATCTGGTGGCCCGAGGATATTCCATGGGCCAACGTTCGCAGTGATGTCCGCACGGAGGAACAGAAGCAGCGGGTGCGTTTTGTATGTCTAACTACCTTCAAATTGCGCGCAGGGGCTTGGGAGCAGTTTTTGTGCAAATAGCTTTCCCCTTGAGTGAGAGAGGAACCTACTGCGTTGGCCCTTCCTTTACTTCATCTCAGAGGTTCAGCATGGGAGAGGAATGAGATGAGAGGCATAACTTTCAGTCCGCTGTGTCCCTGCCTGTGTCATGTGGCGAGCATGTATTTGAACAACATCTCTTTCTGCAGTGGTGTCCTTTTCACTAGTTGCAGGAGCTGCTCATCTCTGTGACCTTATAAAGCAGCTGATCTAGCTTAAGGCCAGCGTAATTTCCAAGTATGCAGTTCATTTACTGTAGAGCCTGCATGATGACTTCATGAAGCTCTTGAAGGATACTATCCTATCCTGAGCAGCAGGTACCTTTCCATTTAAAGGGAAGCAGTCAATAATGTGCAATGGAGCCAGGAAAAAAAGGAGTGAGAGAATTGGATGAAAAGGTCTTGGGTATGAGTGACAGCAAGGGATCCTGTATGCAGGTGATGTTTCTACCAACCTGTCACAAGGAGATCATCAAAAAAAGCTACCTGCACGTGCAGAAGGGCAACGCTTGTGCAGGCTGATGTTCTCTGCCTGGGTGGTGAGGGATGCTTAAGAAGGCTGGAAACGATGCTGTGGCGGTTGGCCTTTTCCTAGGTGGGGGTGGTTTTCTGGTTGTCAGCCCAAATCCCTTGATTAGAATTCCTTGGAAGCCTGAGAAACAGATTTCATTGAGAAACTTGCCCTTCCCCTTGGCCAGATGTGCTTGTTCTGGTAACAGTAGGCAGAAATGCAGTAGCTTTCTGGGGTGGTTTCTGAGTCTTGAGGAATGAGGGAGATGAGGAGAGAGGGATTATTAGGTTGGGGGGTGGATTTTTTTGGTTAAGACTTTATTGAGAAGGACTCAAAACCTATGAAAGATAAGCATGCAAATCACAGCACCACTGACGTGGTTCAGAAAACTCTTTCTTTAACTGACTCTTCTCATCAAAATCTACTGGTAGGTGTCATGGACTCAAGCATTGCGGACTATTGTGAAGAACTGCTACAAGCAGCATGGGCGTGAGGACCTGCTCTATGCGTTTGAGGATCAGCAGACACAACAGCAGACAACCGCCACACATAGTATAGCGCACCTGGTGCCGTCACAGACAGTGGTACAAACCTTCAGTAACCCTGATGGCACCGTGTCCCTCATCCAGGTGAGCGAAACCCTGCACGATTCACACTTCTGGGAGCGAGTTGCCAGCGTCTGGGAGGTGGTTTAGAGCAAACTCCTTTTGGTAGCTTAACTTGTGCTTCAAAAATTTTGTCTTTGTCTTGCTATCTTAACCTGTGGCCTTTTCAAGCCAGTAACCGCACTCAAAGAAGCAGTCTCATCATCTCTCTTCCCCACTTCCACCCGTTCTCCTGTTGCTTCCTCCCTTAGGACAGTGCAAGCGTTTCTGCAGCTGCTTGGTTAAGCAGTTCAGGGATCTGACCTGGATGTAACTAACCAAATTAACGAGCAAAAACAGTTCTTCACGTGACCGCACGAGGCCTGTGGTGGCAATGGGACAGAGTGATGAGAGGGGAGGTGGTGGGACTCTTTCTTTAATGGTGCGGATGGCCTGAAACGTATGTTAATCTATGACATTAGGTACTTCTGTGTCCCCTGATCCTACTCTTACACATGAGGTACTGCACAACAAATATGTATGTATCCTCATGATGCTGCATGAGATAAGTATGTCTCTTACTCCATTTTACAGTAGGGGACCCAGGCAGAAAGGTCTGCGTTCAAGCGGTGGCTGAATGGCGCCGCTATTTTCTCTCCCTTCCCTCTATGGGGAGGCAGGTTCTGGCAGCCCAGGTTTTGGACTGTTGAATTGCTCTCTTGAAACTTCCCAGGAGCTCCTAGCGGGGATGAGATTTGAACCTCAGTTTCCCCTGCGTCTCTAAACCACCACCGCTGCCTTGTACCTAACCGGCCCAGCTGTATACCTGTGTGAGCATCAACATTTTCGTGGTCTGAAACAACGTTTTCTGTCGGCTGTTCTCACAGCCGTGAAGATAAAACCATGGGCTGTTTTTTCAAATGAAAGCTTTTCAGTGCTTCCCCCCTGCCCCTCCCCAGGCCAGGCAGACTTGCCAAGCTGGTTGTTTGCTCACCTGCTGATGTACATTTTCCCTTTGACTAGTGTTCTCTTAGGTGCTGGGCACCTGAGATCCCATTGACTTTCTAGCTTCTGTAGTTTAATTCTCCTTAGAAACAAATTCTCCTTAGGCTGCACAACTCCGCCTTTGCTTTTTCCCAGCTATTAAAGAGGAAAAGATAATTTCCAAGGCCAGTGGGCTGTTGAGGATGAACTAATGTTTGTCAAGTGCCTGGAGAGGAGAGACCCTGTGAGTGGTAGGCAGTGGGCATTATAAATGAGGATTGATATGCAGGGTGTACTGATCCAGGACTGCATCTACCCAGTGGGAGAAGTGTGTTGGCTCCACCTGAGCACCACGCTCTCACCTGGGAACGGCAGCGGTGTCCTGCAGCTACTGTTTGAGACACTGGGAGAATCGAGGAGAATCTAACAAATCTCCTATTGGGAACGTAGGAGACGGCATGTGTGAGGGCTGTGCAAAACTTAACTCCTGGGCCCTGTCTGCTCTGGAAGCTGCCACAAACTAACGTTGCTCTAGTGTGTGACTTTGTGATTTCCTCCCCTGGCTCTTGTCGCAGCCCAGTATTTTCTGTGAGCTCTGCCCTTTACTATTATTCTCTGTAGATGCAGTGCCTTTTAATCTGAAAGCATCTGAGTGTCCCTTTGCTTGAATTGTATGGACGTTTTCCTGCAGTAACAAATGTGTTCAGCTGCATTTTGTTGACTTTTGTAGGTTGGCACTGGTGCTACAGTTGCCACGCTGGCTGATGCCTCAGAGTTGCCTACCACAGTTACCGTTGCACAAGTCAATTATTCTGCAGTGACTGATGGAGAGGTAAGGGTCTGGGTCACGTTCGTTGCGTACAGAGCAGAATTGTCCTGTCTGAACTTTGGTAAAGTTAAATTTTCTACACTTAAGTGGTCGCAGAAAGCGCCTAACCTTGCTACTCTGCCCTGCAGTGATAGTCACAATCAATGGGAACACAACTTTGTATGAAATTTTGTATGTGGAGTAAAAAGTGCTGAGCTATAGTCATTTTGACTCAGGAGTATATGGATGAAATTATGATGAAAGCCTCCCGTGCTGAACTTCATAAGTTTTATGATATCTGCTATAGATTATCTGTTCTGCGAGATCTGCTATAGCAGATAAAGATTCTTAAATGAACTGCACGAATGCACATTGGTGTATTCATATTGGGTATGTGGGTTTCATGTGTGGTTTAGATCCTGAGCGCTGGGTTTTCATTCAGTGCTGGGAGTGATGTCGGGGTTATTTTGAGCCAGTGGTTAGCAAAAGATATTGCATAGCTCTGGGCAGATTGTGTGACTCCTTGGCCTCTGATCTCTGGACAAAATGGGGCTGGTTCTCTGCTGCAGCTTTTAGAGAGGTTTGCAAGTGAATCCTGGAGAGACCTGTATAAATGCGCATTAGTACAGAGATAATAAGAGATACTGTAGAGCATCATACTGTTGCTTTTATTCTTCCAGGACTTTAAAACTTGGCAGAGTTGTTTCCGTTGAGGACTCGATCATGCCACTTCAGACTCTTAAATCTAAATATTCAAGCTTTCATACATTTTTTCACGTTTGTTTTGTTTTGCTTTTGTAATTAAGTAACAAAATACAGTGGTGGGTTTTTTTTAAAGACAAATGGCTAAAGGGATTTTCCTACTTTATTTCCCATCACCAAGCTCAGTTTTAAATCGCCGAGACCGCAGGTAGTTTTCTGCCACTTTGCTACCGCTGAACTCCTGGCCGAGGCGCCTCTGCGTGCGGGAGCGGCGAGCTCTGGCTGCTCGGCTCTGTGCGGATGGGGCTTTTGCGGCGACAGGTGGCAGTGCAGAACAGCCTTGTTCAACGCAGGACTGTATCTCTGTCCGAGAACCAAAGGGACATAGCCTGGTGTTCGGGGCTGCGGCCTTGGAGTACTTCACAGCTGCTTTGAGGGTTTGCCGAACCAGCTGTGTCTCCTGAGACCCAAAAGAAAATTTTCAAAGGCACAGATAGGATTTGGATGCCTGCGTTCCCCCGATTTTCTTATGTGAATGAAGTGCCTCAGTGATATCTTGGACAAAATAAAGATATGAAAGTAAACATACATCGGTGAATGGGTACAACATCCCCGTACCGTCGGATCCACAGCCTGCTGGCAGTCTCTCCGAATGTTTTTTTGTCCTGCGGTGTGGTGCCGTGCATAGATCTGAGTTAGCTCTGAGCAAATGATGCTGACAGAGAGCAGCACGGAGCAGGGATGCTAGCTAAGATCTCGCCAGCACAGCCTTCACATTAGTAGGGAGAAAGGTCTGGATAATTCCCTCTTTTCCGGGCCCTACTCCTCCCCTTTTCTGAAACAACTCAGCTGAATTGCAGGGCATTGTCCATCACAGCGGAGACCTGCTTTATCACTCAAACGCGTATTAGCGTATATTTGAAAAAATATATGTCTGTTCCCCCTCTGCCTGCAGGTGAGAAATACTTTTCCTGCTCAGGCTTGCTTCGGTTCTGTTTTGGCATGGCTAATGAGTGCCATAAACCTGATGTCTGTCTCTCGAGACGAGACCTCTACCATCTGCAATTTCTTCTTCTGTGGGCGCTCAAACTTCGCTGCATCGTTTCTCAAAGATGTTGTCGTCTCTAAAATCAGCTTCCTTTTTCCCTTTCTCAATGCACTATCTCACTACTTCCTACTTGCTTTGGATCTTCCTGCCCAGGCAAACAAAGCAGTTGCTTTGGACCTCAGACTGCTGAGAATGGCTAAACTTTTGCTTATGTGAAGAGCCTTAAGCCAGCTCTGCTTCTATGGACGCTTTTAGCTTTCTCCATCTTAACAAATTGAAGGGTTTCTTTTCATCACCTTCTGGGATCTTCCTATTAGGATGGGCCAGAGTCTTAGCAAGATGATCAGTGGCCTGTAACATTTATGGGGATGGGAAGAGAGACAGGGGAGGAAAGATCTTCGTCTTGCAAAGCAACCAGTAGGATTTGTTGTTGATGGGCCTTCATCCTCTGGTTCTTTAGTCTTTTGATCCAATGCTTATTCCTAGTTTGCATCCTGGTGGATTTTTGACCATACACTCAATGTCTCATGAGTTGTGAAGTCCCAAACACACAAGCAAGGGCTGGGTGGAAAATGAGAAACCGAGGCTGGGTGATCTTTAAGTGCTGTGACTCCTAGCCATGTAAAGGTCTGAAGTAAAGCAATTAAGAGTACCTAAAATATATGAACAGAGGGCTTTTTTTCTGCCGTTTTCTTGTATTAGTTGGATTAGCGCAGCACAAAAAAATTCCAGTCATGAACTCAAATGGCTTTATGCCAAGTGCTATACAAATAAACCCTAAATGAGACTATGGTCTGTTCCCCAAAATGACAGCAGATGGATGCAGACAAGTAGATATAGTGAGGCAAGATGCAGCACTTTCCCCTGTGGGACAGTGATCCGTGCGAGGACTCCAGGCTCCGCAGAAATATAGCTGCTTAATAAACTGCCCAGAATGACAGACTGTGATGTGAGTACAGCCACGATCTAACCACTGCCCAGGCTTGTGGTGGACATGGCTAAAAAAGAGGGGTTTGAGGGAGGATGAGGTGCCTCAGACATTTATGGGGAATGCCTTCCACATATGTAAGAAAACACAGGTTCTTGTTTGAAGATGGAACATACGGAGAACAGCAGCTAGAATCGTGGGCTGAATAGAAATTCACGGCTGAGAGAGGACTGTAGGGTCCAAAGATGTTCTCAGGTGGATCTCCAGCTTCTTCCCCTGGTGCCCTTTTTTCCTGATTGGAGCCTCTCAGAGGAGAGTCAGAGCACGTGCAGGATTCTGCAAAGACATTTTAGGAAGCAGCCATCCGTTCACAGGATGGCTTCCTATCCCAGAGCCTTTTTTCGTTGTTTTCCCCCAATAGGTGGAGCAGAACTGGGCAACGCTACAGGGGGGCGAGATGACTATCCAGACGACGCAGGCATCGGAGGCCACGCAGGCGGTGGCATCGTTGGCAGAAGCAGCAGTGGCAGCATCTCAGGAGATGCAGCAAGGAGCAACTGTTACCATGGCACTCAACAGGTATGGGCTGAGAGGAGATGATGTGAAGCACGTGGGCGTGCACTTCCTTCCAGCTTCATACTCTAGTGGTACAAAACCATTGTCCACAGTGCCAGTAGAGGTTTTTCCATTAGCAAATTGCTTGTTCCCCCTGTGTTCAGGAGTCTGCAGGACCGTTCTTGAGTTCCTCTGTAACCATAGAAGCACACTGAAATGGAAATATGTTGAAAAAGATAGGTAGTAACTGTACCCGCTAGCGATCTTGTTTGTACAGCAAGTGTCCACTTACAGAAGTAAGCATGCCAAGCAAGCAAGAGTCACGATGTGCTAATAGCACTTTTTAAGTATGCAGGCCTGTTTCTCCCTCAGTATTGTTAATGGTCCCTTATTAAAAAGCTAAGGCTGAATTTCCCACTTGTGTGGCAGTATAGTTTCTCTTCAGGAATCAGAATCTCTCCTAAAGGCTGGTGCTTCTCCCAAATGTGTTTCTGGAGTAGATGTTGAATGAGCTGCAATGGCAATGCTTCCTCTTCATCTTGGAACAAGCTCTGTTGGATTCTTGGTGGTACTCAGTATTTACCGAGGTCTGCGACATAATTCTCTACTGGTCTGTGCAGCTGGAAGCAGTGTCTGCTCAGCTCTACCGAGTTGCTTAAGCTCTACCTGCTGTTCTTAAAGCTGGAAATGGTTGTGACACGCTGCAGCTGCATCCTGGTAGACTAGGAGAATAGTAAGAAATGTGTGATCAGTGCCAGCAGCGTAAAAGGTTTCACGCTGGCGGGGAGTCAGCAAAATATTTGCTTCATCCAAATCAGGATTCTGGACTAACGGCTGTTGGCTGAGCAGCCATGGCAAAGGACAAGAGCCAAGTCCACAGTGGTGGTTAGAACGAAGCTCCAAGACCTCGTTATAGACCGACTGCAAATTACTAAAACGGCCACCTTGACCCTGGGGACATTCAACAGCTTGCTTCCAAATTGCTTTTGCAACTGAATCAAAAACAAATCTAGAACTACTTCTTCTGTTGGCAATCGAGTCCATCAGATATGTTCTTTTCTGCTACCTGCCTTTCAGCTATGGCTGATTAAGTAGGCTTTTTTACTAATAGTTCTACTGTAAAAGTAAAAATTAATCTTTTTAAGAGACTGTAAGAAGTGCAGCTGAAATAACTAGGTGTGGAGCTGCAGCAAAGAACGTTAGGGTGCCTTTGATTTTATTTCATGCCATCACGCTAGTTTTAGCCCTTAAGGTCACAGTGAGCAGTTCTTTTCCCTGCATTAACTTAGGAAATTCCATTTCCTGAATAAAAAGAAGTGTTGTTAAAGCTAAAGAGAGTCTCCTAGAAAATACGAATGGAAGAGCCCTCAATAAATCATGCCACAAGACAAGATCGGCTGTGTTTAAACCCAGGAGAGCCCTATGATAAGTTTGGCCAAGGAGCTTCATAGTTCCGGAGCAACACGAAGTCGTTAGCAGCATTGCAGTGGGAATGACGGGCCTCGCGTTTTCCCTGTGGGGCGCTGGCTGGTCCTTGTGCTGCAGCAGCGTCGGTCGCTTCTCAACAGTGGCAGCATGGGCTGATCCTTGGGTGGGAAACAGCCACTCATGAAAACGCTGGGAAGCCAGCTGTGACAGGAGCTGATTTATTTCCCGGCTTGTTGTCCTCCTCTGGTTCTCTTTTTCTGCTGACTGTGATAGGGCTGGGAAGAGAGGCCCATCTTTCCAGGCGGCTGCCCTCCAGAACGCCTCCATGCAGGAGGAGGTGTGTTTTTTCCTTCACCGCGAAACACTCTTTGCGACTTCAGCTGTTGCGGGAGTCGGACTGCAGTCTTTCCCCTACCTGTAAGAAGATCTCAGCAAGACGCCAGCCCTTGAGAGCTGATGGCTCTTACCAGCTCTGGAAACTCTATGCCTAATTTAGCTCAAAGCTGCCATCTCTCATTCGTGCTTCGATGCCTGCTGACAGAGAGCAGAGGAGTTTCTCGTAGTCCCATGTAGAGCAGTATCTCTGCAAACAGCATGTTGCGACAGATGTAGCAACCTCTATCAGGTGTTTGAGGATGGGAAATATTAGGCCTTCTAGTAAAAGAGGACAAGGTGGGGAGGGAACTGATTCATTGATTTGAACCAATTAATGTTTGTGGAGCACACTGTAACTGGAAGAAGCTTTTATGCAGCAGATCATTATTATTTTCAGGGATGCAGCCTTAACAGATGATTGGAATACTAAGTTGCCCTGGAAAGTGGATTCAAATAAATATTGTGCAACGTCTGGGAAACAGAGTTACGCCAGTAAATCCATGTCTACCCCCAAGTTTGCTGTGCTGTAGCTGGCCTTCCTGCGCTGTAAGTGCCATCACAGAGCAGCAGATTTGCAGGAGAGATTAGCTAAAGGAAGTAGGAAGACAGAATGGCAAAATATTCTGGTTCAGTAGCGATGTTTAAGAGCTACTGTGAGTGACGGAGCTGCTGTTTAAAAATGAAAATACACCCTGCATGAATTCTGTTGGAAAGTGGGCAACGTTTAAGCAGGAAATCAGGAAAGAGAAGCAACAAGTAGGATGTCCGTAGAAAATGCTTGAATCAACTGATCTACTAGAGAACAAGAGGGGCAGTTACGGAAAAGCGTTCTAGGGGAAGCTAGTTGACTTCTCTGGTCTCTCTCTTGCATAGGAAAGGCTAAAAAAATTGCCTACTTTTTTAGTTCATTAAGGTAAGGAATGGTAGGAGATTCAGCTGTACAAAGAAGGTACTTCTGAAGTAGTTTTGTGAATAGTAGTAGGTCACCAGAAGTAGCTAATAGTCACCCGAGAGGTCTAGAGAAATCCGAATTGCTGCTGAAGGATGCTCGCAGCTCTCTTGACTGTGCAGCAAAATGGCAAATAAAATCTGATGTCAATAAATGCCAAGCAATACATACATGAAGAAATATCTCCTGTATATACACCCAGAGAGGGACTATATGTTACCATTTACCATTCAGCAAAGCATTCAGGAAACTATCCTGCAGGAGTCTCTGATCACTGCTCAGCTGATATTGTCAAAAGAGAAAGCTGAAAATTAGAAATTGTAGGGAAAGGCACAGAGGACAAAGCAGAATTAGGCCGCTGTACTAACTCATGGAGTGTGCGCATCTTGAATAGCGTGAGAAACGGTCACCCCCCTCACATGTCTTACACTAGAAAAGATCTGGAAAAGGCCAAGAGTGATCAGAAGCCAGGAAGAGTCCTTGTACAGTAAGTGGACTATGGCTCTTCACCTTGGAAAAGAGATCACTGGGATAAAATGACGGGAAAACGAAAACGGAACAGTTTTGCTATTTCTTGCAGTATCAGAGCTAAGGACTGCCCAGCAAAACGAAGGCGGTACTTTTCAGACTACCAGAATGCAACATTTTTATTCACACGGCACCTAATTAAATGTGGAACTCATTGCCACAGGATGTTGTGGAAGCAAAAAGTATAAATGGGTTTCCAAGGGGATTAGACAAATCAAACTTGATGGTCCAGATGCAGTCTGTGATGCAGGAAATCAATACGCGGCTGACTGCCGGAAGCTGAGAGGGTGTAGGAGGGGAAGGATCACACACGGTCCTTCCTAAATATCTGATACTGGCTGCTCTCGCAGCTGGGTTGCTGCATGAGAGGGACCTTTGGTCTGACCTCATTCGTATGAAGAACTTTAAGAATACAGTGCTAAGGTACTAATCGTTCACTAGAAAGATTTATTAAACCACAGGCCTGGGGAGAAGCGTTCCATCTTAGCTAAATACAGAGCTGCTGATGTGATTCTGGTAATGGTAAACCTCTGGCCCTATTTCAACGTGCGGTAAACTGGCTGAATCAGTGCTGAAAGATGGAGCTCTAAAATCTGCAGACACCTCGAATGTGGCAATGACAAAAGAATGAGTTGTGTACCAGAAACTAGAGGCATGAGATCGCTTGGTATGACTTGGTATGACTGACCTGGATTGTCCAAAAGCTTGTGGTAAAGTCCCAGGCAAAAGGATGCCAAGGTAAGAGGGCAAGGATATTCTGCATAAGAGAGAGTCAAGCTAAAAAAGGCCAGTGCAATCAGCTTGTTTCATTTTGTCCCTCCTCCACTGTAGAATTTCCCTCTGGATAACTTCAGCCGGGCACGGTAAGAATCCCTCCTCTTTGCATTTGTGCTCTCTTGCCATACGATGCCTAGTTAAAGCGGATCCTGCTGGAGCTGAGCTGTTCGCTTATTTGTCTGTTCATTCTTCTTCCTAATTCTTCTTCCTCCTCCCCTGTGTCCACAGCGAAGCAGCCGCCCATGCAGTAGCCACGCTTGCTGAAGCCACCCTTCAAGGTGGAGGGCAAATTGTCCTATCTGGTGAAACCGCAGCAGCAGTGGGAGCGCTTACTGGAGTCCAAGATGCCAATGGTAAGGCTGTGGGAATTTTTTTGCTGAATAATCTGTTTTTTCTTGCTCTTAGCTAGGTTTTTTTCCACTCTTTGATTTGAGATGTCAGGATATTGCTGGTAAAGTAGTTCTGCCCCACTGCAAGTCGTCATTAACTAGGTTGTGACTGAAAAGCCCAGAACAAAATGGGAGCACTACCCCGTTACTTGCTTCCACAGTGTTGGGGGCTGTGCTGTTCTACCCCTTCTGCCAGCTTGCCTGTTACACCGCAGTTTTAAGGAGGAAGATTGCTCTCCACCCTGTATTTGTACAGTGCCTAGCGCTGGGAGGATCCAAACTTGGTTGACTGACATAATTGTTATCATCGCAAACTTGTGTCCAAAATGCTTCACTGTGGAGGGGCAGGGAGCCTGGCCAAAGCATTATTACCCACTCGTTTCCTTTCGTTCTCTAAATTTTTTGTAGTTTGTTAACTGCTCTTGAAAAAACTGTTGCTTCTCTGCTTGGACCATACCATTCAGTTATCCATCAGCAGCGCAACCTCAGGTGGTTTTCGTCGTACTTTTTCATCTTGCCACCATATACGGTCACTCATGTTCTAGGGATCTTCTGTGATATTTCTAGGCTGCATCTGAACGTCTCTTCTGCCAAGTCTGGTGACCTTTGTAGTTATTTAAACGAACCTAGTAGTGAACAAATCTATACATTCGTGAAAACTGGGTCAGAGACTATACCAGATCATGCTAACGCGTCTCCGTGCTTACCCACTGCCTCCAGTTGCGCTGTGCTTATCTATCTGACGCTTTTACCGTACGTAGTTTCCAAGTTCAGAGATGAGACTCACTGGTTATTTGGATGAAATGGAAGCAGAGAGGTCAGCATGAATCCTAAAAGGATGCAAACTGTGCAGCTGTAAAGAAACATTGCCTTGAGGATGGGGATATTTGAACTGTCAAAGGGGGAGAAGCATGTGCAGGCAGGTGGCAGAGCCGTGACTTGTTGCCTTGTCACTCTGCGCGCGAAGCAGAATTCTTTGCAGATCAGACCTGGAGTTTGACTTCCAGGGAAATCCTCGTCTTTGTAGGGAATGCGCTCCTTTTAAAACACCACCATTTAGTTAGCAGTGAAGAAGGGCAAGTGAAGGGAAGAGTAACTTCTACCCAGCACGTTCGACTTGATGTCTTTTGCTGTGGAGTCAGCCAGCCTGAAGAGGGAGCAGAAACGAAGTGAAAACCCTATCCGCAGAGCTAGGAACGCAACTGGTAGAGTTGTGTTGTATTACGCTTTGCCGGTGGCAGGGCATAAGGGGGATAAGGAACGCGCGTTTGTCCAAGGAAGGATCTGACCCTGGATGCTCAAGAGCAGCAACTAATCAGATTTGTACAAGCACGTTAGCATCTTTTGAAGAAGAAAAAGTGGGTTAGCGAATCTGCGCCTCTGCCCGCTTTGGTCCATTTCCAAAGTGCTTTCAAGGTCTGGATTCCTCTGGATGCTTCCCCTAAACAACTCTCCTCCTCCACACCCTTCTAGGCCCTGAGTCACTCTACCTCATTCATCTAGCATTAATATCATTTTAATGCAGGCTGTTTTTTTTTTTTTTTTTTTTTTACAGCAGAGTTGGAAATCAGATGGGATTTAGAGTGCATTAAGGGGAGAGACTGCAGCATTTTCCTCTGTGCAAAACCTCACCCGCAGCCCCTCTCCTTGTTTCCACTCCTCTTCGATTTGCTCTAATCTCCGGTGGTATTAAAGGGAAGGGCTTTGTCTGCGCAGTAGTCCTTGGAAGCGCCATGCTGTTAGTTTTATTACGTAACCAGCTAATATATCTCCCTTAGGGATGGAGGAGA